AAGAAGTTATGAGGTATGACCACTAAGTCAATTGATATTTGGTGCAGGTTTTGTTGCATCCAGGCCATCCAGTTCCTCCTATTGCCACTAATTGGAGAAAATACCGTCACCCTTGCGCTGTGGACTGGGATGATGCATATGTGCGTCGCATTCAACATTTCAAGGACATTATTCATGATAATGTAGCTACTCGAGAGACTTTTGATGTTGTTGATGTCGCATGACACATGTATGCATTTGACAATGTTACAATTATGGAAGAAATTAATGAATGTGTTTTTTATGTTGATGTGTTATGTTTTGCAATGTGGATTGAATGTTATCGACCATGGTTACCATTCCATTGTAATAAGAAAATATCATTTACAAAATCAACGACCATTGTTACCATTTCATTCTAATAATAAAAGGTCATTACAATACCATTGTTGTCATTCCATTCTAATAAGAAAATATTAACCACTGTTACCATTACAACAATGTCATCTTACAAAAAACACCAAACAATATTCATCAACTAACAAAATAACATGTAACAACATAACATGTCACGAATCAGCTGTATGCCTACGCCGAGGCCTACGACTGTATGTCAACATCGAAGATGGAAAGCGACCTCCAGCAGAACTAGGTCCAGCAGAACTAGGTCCAGCAGAACTAGGTCCAGCAGAACTAGGTCCAGCAGAACTAGGTCCAGCAGAACTAGGTCCAGCAGAACTAGGTCCAGCAGAACTAGGTCCAGCAGAACTAGGTCCAGCAGAACTAGGTCCAGCAGAACTAGGTCCAGCAGAACTAGGTCCAGCAGAACTAGGTCCAGCAGAACTAGGTCCAGCTTCGTCAATGTGCTGACCTTCAAGAACATGTGTCATACTCTCGATAGCCTGGTAAAGTCGATAAGGATGGCGAATCCCCTCCTGATAACCAGCGTCAATAATAGGATGTGAAATCTGCAGTGCATGTGCAATACGCTGCATTTGAAAAAAATATCACGTTTTAGGGAACATATCAGAAAAAAAAAGTAAGTTACATATGCATCAGAGAGGATAATAGATTACATCCGCATGTTCGCTGAAATCCTGATGGTCATGGACACGCGGTTCATCAGTGTGCTCGACATATAGGTGCGTGATATTCTTATACCAATCCATGTAACCCGGTACACATTGCCAAGGCTGACGAACTGGTGTGCTCCTCCGTTGCGCAGACAACACGTGGTTATCCCAAGCCTCCCACATCCTATCCAAGTATCTGTACATGACGGTATATCGTGCAGATATGTTGCATCGTGCACCACGACTAGGAGCTAGCGGTGCATTTGGGATGGTTTGAACCCTGCCAAACTGCCTCAAAACTCTATCTGGATGATAGGGTTCGACAACGTCTAAGCACTTTAAGCATCCATGGTAGAACGTAACCGGGTTACATGGATGCCGGTCTCTGCAGCTGTGGTATGGATCCCAAATAACCTGTAAACGTAAAGTGTTTTTGCATTAAAGTACCTAAAGGGTAAGATAAATGGAAGTCTTAAAATTATTGCAGGATGAGTAAACTTACATCAGTAGCTACTAAACTGTTAAGCTCGGCTCGAAAAGATTTCAAATGGTCAATGGAGGAACCCGCCTCTCTCCTAGATGCCCAATGGTACACGTGTGGCATGTCTTCATTGTAGCCCATGTTCTGATGAGGTCGGAATGCTCGGAAGTGCTCATAAATCCACGCCTCCAAAAGAGTCATATAACCACCCATCTGCTTAACCCCAGACCGGCTAGCAAACCCCAACTGTCGATATAAAAATGTTAATGCAGCAGCACCCCAGGCATAAGTATGTATGGATCCCAAATCCATCAATAAGCCGAGGTAAACAACGGGAACCCTGCCACCACTTTTGTCACTGAAGAGTGTACATCCTAACAGAAACAATAAATAAGCTCTTGCAGCGCACTGTATAGCCTCCTCGGGGTCTGAATCTGTGACACCAGCAAACTGACTTCGCAACCATGGACACGCGGTTCATCAGTAGAAGAAACCTCTTCATATGCTGCACGTTCAGTAATCCCCAAGCCATAAACGAGTAATGTAACTCCATGATGATCTGTCACATCTGGTATGCTGACTGATTTGCCTACAATGGGAAGGCCAAGAATAGTGCCAACATCATCCAGGGTCAAGGTCATCTCATCAACTGTCATGTGAAATGTGTTCGTCTCAGGTTGCCATCTCTCAACAAAACATGAGACTAGAAGCTTGTTGACGAACCGATAAGTGCAATGAGCTAACTGTGACAGTCCAGACTGCTCAATAATGGTTTTGAATCTGGTGTTGTTCTCTACTAACCACCATGGCCATGCAAGGATCTTGGAAGAGTGATTATGACACTTTAGGGGCCCGGAACGACAAGGAGACCCCTC